CCCCGCCAACTCGCGAAAAATCCCGGGGTGCTCCATCGTGCCGGTTGGCGACCGGATGAAAGGACCCGATGGCCACTCCCGGGGTGGTTCGGGCGTCCCCGCGCGCTCCAGTCTAGTTTCCCATCGGCGTACCATATAGGGTATGTGCCGCATGACTTTCAGTGGTAGTGTCTCGTACAACTGCCTTCGCTCTCCCCATTCACTCTAACCCTAATATGAAAAGGTCAAGAAAATTGAGGAAGGCTAAACAGCGGATGCACGTCCTTTCACTTAAAGTGCACCTCTCGAACATCCGAGGTCTGCACTCCAATCTCTCATCTGTCCACCACCATCTTGAGACTGAAAGGCCTCACATGCTCTTCCTCACGGAGACCCAAATTAGATGTCCTTCGGACACGGCGTATCTGCATTACCCAGGTTACATTCTGGAGCACAAATTTAAGTAGCGCGCTGGTACCTGCGTTTACGCTCGTGATGACATCTGCTCTAAACGTCTCCGTGACCTTGAAGACCCCGATCTCTCTGTAATGTGGGTTCTGGTAGACACTGGACTGGAACAAATTGTCTACGCCAGTGTGTATCGGTCGCATTCTGGAGACCCGGAGACGACTAGGCTGTTCAACCATCTCTGCAGCTCGGCGGAAACAGTCCAACAACGGTATCCTAAAGCACAACTTGTCTTTTTGGGGGACTTCAATGCCCATCACCAGGAATGGTTGTTCCCATACCAAAAAACCGACCACGCTGGAAGAGAGGCGCGGGCATGTGCTCTATCGCTAGACCTCACCCAGCTGGTGAGTTTCGCTACCAGGGTACCGGACGTTGACGACCACACTGCCAATTGCCTGGATCTTCTGCTGACAACCGATCCAGACCGCTACCAAGTATCGGTCTCATCCCCACTAGGGACATCCGATCACTGTCTGGTGAAATCTGTATCTGCATACTCCCCGCCCGATCTCAGTACGGGAGGTACTAGGAGGATGTGGCGATACAAGTCAGCAGATTGGGATGCGATGCGGCATTTCTTTGCATCTTATCCCTGGCGGCAGCTGTGCTTCTCTTCTGACGATCCGACGTGCTGCGCGTCTGCCGTCTCTGAGGTGATTATTCGGGCTATGGAATACTTTATTCCGTATTTCGAAGTCTCCTCCAGCGGCAAAGCTCGCCCTTGGTTTAACGCTGAGTGTGCTTCTGCGGAAACGCTAAAGCAATCTGCGTACCAGGCTTGGGCTGATGCTCGAGATCGCAAAGCACCGGAAACCCTCCGTCTGAAGAAAGCCTTTAATAAAGCCGCTAGATCCTGCAAAAAAGCGATACGGAAAGCTCGCTTCGGCCATATTAGTCGTATTGGGGTCAGGTTAGCTTCATACCCATCAGGGAGTAAAGCATTCTGGTCACTCGCTAAATCGGTCGAAGCGAATTTCTGCAGGTCATCCCTTCCGCCTTTAATGAGAGATGACGGATCGCTGGCTCATACCGCTGAAGAGAAAGCAAATCTTTTTGTTTCTCTTTTTGCTTCCAACTCCCGTCTTGACGCTACTTTGCAAACACCACCTACACTACCTCGATGTGACTCGGAAATGCCCGAAATCACTATCCGTCAAAAAGAGGTGTTGAAAGCTTTACGCAAATTAGACGTCAACAAAGCCAGTGGCCCTGACGGAGTCCCAGCGATTGTCCTGCGGAACTGTGCACCCGAGTTGTCTCCGGTGTTGACTCGCCTGTATCGCCTCTCAATGAGTTCTGGACAAGTCCCGAAATCCTGGAAGCTTGCAAATGTACAGCCTGTACCTAAGAAAGGTAGCCATGCCGACCCATCTAATTATCGACCTATCGCAATCACCTCCATACTCTGTAAGACTATGGAGCGTGTATTGAACAGCCGTCTCCTTGGATACCTCGAAGATAACGATCTCCTCAGTGATCGACAATATGGTTTTCGCCGTGGACGATCTACTGGGGATCTTCTTGCGTACGCCACACATTTATGGAGCGAGGCTGTCGAGAAACGCGGTGAATCGCTTGCCGTGTCTCTCGACATATCAAAGGCCTTTGATAGGGTTTGGCATGATAGCCTGTTAAACAAGCTTCCAGCTTACGGAATTCCTGTTGGCTTTTGCACATGGATAGGCGATTTTCTGAAGGATAGGTCAATCCGTGTAGTTGTAGATGGTTACTCGTCTGCTCCTCATGGTATAAATGCCGGTGTACCTCAGGGATCTGTCCTCTCCGCCACTCTATTCTTGCTGCATATCAACGACCTGCTGCTGATGCCCGGTATCTTTGGGTACGCAGACGACAGCACAGTGGCGGTGAGTTATGTGCCAGACGCCCGAGACAACAGCGAAGAGATCCGGTGTAAGCGAGAGGCGATGGTCACCCGGTTGAACCTGAGTCTGAAAGCTGCTTCCGACTGGGGAGATGCTAACAGGGTCAGGTTTAATGCGGCTAAAACACAGGCGTGTCTTTTCTCATCAAAACGGAGTCCCCTACACCTTACTCCGACTTTCCGAGGTGTATCCGTGCCGATAAGGGACCACCTTGAGCTGCTTGGTCTGGACTTATCATCCAACCTCAACTTTGGGCGATACATCGAGTGCTTGGCAAAAACTGCTGCCAGAAAACTAGGCATACTTTTCAAGGTCAGGCGGTACTTCACACCTGAACAGCTTTTACATCTGTATAAAGCACAAGTTCGATCCTGTATGGAGTACTGCTGCCACCTTTGGGACGGCTCTGCCCAATACCAGTTAGCTGCCTTGGACTCGGTGGAGCGTAAAGCAAAGAGACTTATTAACAATAATCCTCTTGTGGAGTCGAAGCTCCAAAATCTCGCTCATCGCAGAAAAGTAGCCTGCTTGTCGGTTTTCTATCGGATACATTTCGGGGAGTGTGCGCAGGAACTTTTCAATTTGGTTCCGCCCTCACCGTTCCTCCTTCGGTCGACTAGAAGGTCCGGAGCACTCCATTCTTATGTCGTTGATATTCCACCTATTCGCACTAAGCGCTTTGCCTCCTCCTTTCTGATGCGTACGGCAAAGGAATGGAATGCTCTACCGGCATCTGTATTTCCCGAAAAGTACAATTTGGGGCTATTCAAGGCTAGAGTGAATAGGCATTTTTTAGGCAAACGCGTCCCATCGTCGGTCACATCGTCGCTTAACATCAGGTGAGATTGTGGCCAAGCGTGTCTATTATATATTAAAAAAAAAAAAAAAAAAAAAAGCTAAAAATGTTACTGTTTATTAAACAATGTGCGATTTTATCTGCTCTTATAATATCTCTAGTTCATTGTTTGTCTATGATTGTTCTTTTTCACTTCAGGCATACCCTCCAAAACTTCTTCGAAGAGGTTCTCCCAAAAATAAATACCTTGCTGCTGCCTTTGAAAGTGTTCATCAACATTAACTGACTGCATTTCTCGAAACTGATACTGGCTCAAGACTAGTGGCCGCCATTACGGAAATAATAATAAAAGAGTTTCTACTAACACCTACACAAATCTAGGTATATGTAAATTTAAATTAAAGTTACTTGTTCATGCTGCCTCAGGTAACGATGGGAAAGACTGCTTATTTTTTAAACGCTTTTCAGTAGTGTACAACAATGTTATGTTATACAACATTGTTTAGAAAAGTATTTAACTGCATAGACTTTTATGTTAAAAAAAGCTTGCAACATTGTGTTGATAGCGAAAAGCAAGAGTAGACCACTAAAGGTTCTAAAATAAGTAAGTTTATTTGTAAAACGCGAGTTTTATTTTTATTTAGGAAATGAAACTATTTTTCCGGATTTGAATCGCGTATATTTATTTTTTCAAACAAACCGACGTTTCGGGCCCTTTACAGGTCCCATGGTCACGGTTGACTGAGGTGGTACAGTCTTCAACCAGTTATGTCTAATATTGATGCAAACCACCATATTTTTTCACTATACTTACAATAGTTATTAATTTATTTTTAATAATAATAAAGAAAACATTCCAATTTACGCTATATTCAGTTTTACAAATTATTTTATCGAATGAATTTTTATTAAGTTCAATTTATTATTAATTATTAATAGAAATTAGAATAAACTAAAACATATTAATTAGTACTGCAGTCTTATGTCTGTTTGGGATTTTTCATTAGAGGAAATACTGGATCCTAATAGTGGTACGGAGAAACCATCTTCCCTGTTGAGATTAGGATGTTTTTTAATTTCAATGGCCTCTCGCAGCATCCTGGGTAGATAACGGACTTCTTTTGCAAGGACCTGGGGTTTGTCAAACTTCATTGAATGTGTAGGTTTATCCATGACATGCTCGCATGCTTCATTTTTATTTATAAAATTATTATTCACATTGACAAATGCATTTGTTTAGGGAACATAGAGAGCAGGACTTGAAACATAGCCCTTATAAAAAATGATATTATTGAGTATTGAACTGACCGAATTAAATTGAAAAGCGTGCTTATGTGCGTATTATAAAAAGCAAACCTCATAAGAGCTTTTCATTTAAACACTTTTGTCTCAGCCATTCAACTGACAACAACTCAATTAGACCAAATTTTCTTCTACTGGGCTACACTTGTAGTGTTTGTTTTATATGTGTAACTTATTACACGGACAATATAAACGCCACCGCTGCCTTCGCAATTAGCCGGCACATCTGGTGTAACCTTTAATTAGCCTGTCGTTGTTACCATCCACAACTATATAGCGCTGGTCAGTCCCATGAACGGGCCGGGACTATAATTATCATATCATTGGCCAATATATAATTAAAAATAGAAACCGGAACTACAGGTCAGGATGAAGCAATCGCGGAGACAAATTTCTTTTTGTTTACTATCAAACATTCGACAAAGATTTTTGTTCTTCCTCTTTTCTAAACAAAGATATTTTACAATTTTATTGTTTATATGTCTTAATGAACTTTGTGTAGGGTAAATAAGACATATGCGTCACATGAGAAAAATGAAAATATTTAAAACAAATAATAACAAACTAACCTGCAACGCAGCTAGCTCATTATTTTGCCGTTCCTCCACGCTTTCTTCACTCATTTTGCACGTAAAACATTACAGCTTACAAAAATATTTCACCTCTTTATTGAAAAACTTTAAAGAAATTGTTACTTCAGCAATATCTTCCAATAAATCTACCGCCACATTTACAAAACATTTGTAAATAGAGTCCATACATTCAACCAAAGGAAGACAAAGAAATACTAGTTACAAAACGAATTAGATACAGAACTATGTACGAAGATATTGAATGATATTTTTTGGTTACATAATCTAATTGTACAAAAGTAACCAAAAATAAGAAAAAGGTTGACTAAAGGATGAGATCGAATGAAATTCAATTTAAAAATATAAAATTATTATTTAGTAGCAGTAACAATGTTTCACTTTACATAATCCGATCATGGAAATATTTAGTTGCCGTCTCATCTCTAGGAATGTCAATGTCACCTCGAATGGAAGCATTTTTAATGTTACTTCATGATTAGTGTATCGGCCACTGCAAAGAGGATTTTTGGAATAAAAAGAAATATAATTTTGTAAAAATTCTACCTGAGAATGTATGTGCATGATATTTTGTTTATAAGATCATTGATGATACGGTTTAGATACCCGACATGACCACAATCACAGAGCTTACTGTTGATAATAAAATTATATGTCGATTGGGCAGAAGAACCTTCACAGCTATAAAAGCGTAGACGTTGCATCGCGTGTATACCATTACTCTCTTCCAGAGTACGTATTCCTTCCGTTTTTACGATATGGGGTCCTTCCATCGAGTATATAACCCGAAATAGAGACGTCATATCATTTCATTTAATTTGTTTGAAAATATTCTGCCAAATCATTACGGTGCCAACTGCGCTCCGATTGACTAGTCCGAAATTGACGGGTGTCGTCAATTGTTTCACTTCAAATCGACTAGTTTAACTTCAGCTTTGCTATGAAAATTGAAAAATTATATATTTAATATTTAATTACCGATGAAATGCGATTCCGTTTGTTTTGTAATTAGATGTTTTATCATATTTTACTGTTTCTCCCACACCCCGAATGGAACAGCCCGCCATTGTTAGAGACATTATCTTTATTACAATAAATACAGAATATTTATGGAATATACGGAGACGTACACACAGGTCAGTTGTTGGCGCTGTACTATTTCAGCTTTCTAATTTGTGATTTCAGTGCAAACGGGAATTGTTAGTTAAAAGTGATATAAGTCCCATTTTCCTGATGAGTTCTCAGGGATGGATGGCCCTTATTTCGTCTCTATTCTGGTTATGTACTCGATGGGTCTTTCAGACAAGTCGTGAAGAGTTTAGAGGATGGAAAAAAATAAAGGTGAAGAGGCATCCTGTCTGTCACGTATAAAAAAAAGCGTTTTTTTTACAAACAAGTATATTTCTTGATAAAATAATTTTATTGCCATACATTTTTGCGATGTTAAATGACTGAATGGAAAAGTTTTGTTTTCTTCGAGAAATAATAGAAAACAGATATATCTACCCTGAAATACACGAGTATTACGTACCTGCACTGCCCTCCTAATCAAAACTAACGTACCTAATCGAAATTTTTAACGTAATTGAGTTTTTAACAAATTTTGGAACTAGCGAAACTAGTACTACAACCTCTTACAAGCAGTTTTTTTTATATCTTATTTAGATTTACTTTTATGGTGAAGCAAAATTGGTGTAATTGACATTTATGAAAGAAAAAAACAAACTTTAGATGCCGATATCTCTAAAGTTACCAATTCTGTAAAGTTTGCGTGGTTATGACACCGAGTATATAACCAGAAATAGACACGAAATAAGGGCTATCCAGGGCCTTATATCACATCAACACTCGTTTGAGCTGAAATCACAAATTAGAAAACTGAAATAGTAGGCACAGCGCCAACAACTGACTCGTGTGTACGTCTCCGTATATTTCAAAAATATTCTGTATTTATTGTAATAAAGGTAATATCTCTAACTATGGAGGATTGTTCCATCCGGTGGTGTGAGAAAAACAGCAAAACATCTAATTACAAAACAAACGGAATCACATTTCATCGGTAATTAAATATTAAATATGTAATTTTTAAATTTTCGTCCATTATAGCAGAGCTCAAGTTAAACTCGTCGATTTGAAGTGAAACAATTGACGACACCCGAATTCGGGCTGGCCAATCGGAGCGCAGTTGTCACCGTAATGATATGGCAGAATAGTTTTCAAACAAATTAAATGATATTTCGTCTATATTTCTGGTTATATACTCGATGGATTATGATTAGGAGAGCAGAACAGGACAAGAACGTCTTTTAACCAGCAACGAAACATTACAATTTTAATTAAATTTTAAGAACTAATTGAACAGTAGAAATGTGCTGAGTAGCAGTTAGGTAGACCCTTGTTCACAATTAAAGCAATGATTCGGTATTTGTATTTTGGTAATGGCAAGTCTTAATATCGGTAGCAAAAGGTCAGTGCTCCATGCCCTGAAGCTGTTGTTGTGGTCCAAATGGAGGTACTGTAAGAAAAAGAGTTAATGGTAACTAAAAAAAATACGTACGTACTAAACAATGGAACTATTAAGTACCATTAGTTACTTCGTACCGTTAGTAAAAGAAGTAATCGCGAGTAGGTAATCAATGATACATTAATAGTGCTTTTATCATTTATGAAAGTCATAAAAATAAATCGAACATTTACATGAAACAAAATTAGGTATGAATATGTGGATTTTATAACTCTCCCATATTTCATGGACATGTAGGTTATGTTGTTGTGGTACCTATGCTTAAACAATATCGCTCACAAAAATGTGAGTACTTTTCTTGCCGTAGTGC